TAACATGCAAAATAGAAATTAGACAGGTTTGCAACAAAAGGCTATTTTCAGTTGGTCCGGCGATCTTGGTATTCCTTCAGTTCTAATTAAGCTACAGCTCATCTCTCTGAGATCTAGTTGTGAGAATCGTAAGGAATGCATAAGGTTTCATTGGTCGAAACAATCCCTTCAGTTTCACATTCATCTAACAATATTTTATCACCGTCATCTCCAAATCCCGAAAATTCACCTGTACTGCGCCAATATTTTGTTCACCGGTCAAAAGTCCACCAATAATGTAGGGTTTGGTTGGATCGAAATGCTGTATAAATTCCATTGGTACATCCGTGAACTCGATCCTTACGTAAAGTCCTGGACGAAAACCCTCCAGCTGTTGGCGCGATGCTTCATCCAATCCATCAAATACGGACTTGTTTAACTGGAATAAACACCAGAAAAATGACTTGGTTATTTTCCATTGGCCTGGCAGCATGGTGCACGGGGAAGTAACACTGTTGTCGTAAATTACGGCCCTATTCCACCGGTGGGACAGCCAAATCCCTCGGGCAATTTGCTTAAAATCGTTCGATGGTAAACCGATTGTAGCAACCAGGTTGACCCCGGGAAGCCTAAGTGGCAAAGGTGCGATAGATTACAGTGCGAAAAAAGAAGGTAAAAGTGAGATAAGACGTTTCGGTCCATCCATTAATAAGTCATATACGTCTTAACTCAACACTGAGACAGGATCTCGTCAGTATGACGGCCGTTTTTAGTACGGACATTACACAATGACTAAATTTTCAATTCCATTTCATTGTAATCAACTCATATCGTGCATGGGGTCAAGTAAATTGTCTTTACCTCTGCCTGTTGCTCAAGTTCCTCTTTTAGCTGCACATAATACTGGTTGGTCTCATCATATTCCGCATTAAAACGATTTTTTAGCTTCTCCTTCGCATGTTTTCGCCGTTTGGCCACTGTTTCATCACTATCATCACCAGCTGCTAATTCTGGCTCAGTAATTGATTTCCCGGCTTCATCTTTCCCTTCATCATCATCATCATTCTCTTCGGCGGCTGCAAATGCAATCATCAATTTCGAATTAATTATCAATTTAAATTAGCTATTAATTTAAAATAGTGATAATTGACAATTTTTAATCGTTCCTAAAAAAAGAAGCTAACAATTTTCACTGGAAATGCTGGCTTCATCGCCCATATCATCGCCATCTTCTTCCATTCGTTCTTCTGAAAAAAAAAACTACATATAGCGCGAATGTTAAATATCTGAAAGCCAATAAAGGTTTACTATTAGAGAACTAGATGAAATCAATGATCTACGATTTATTCATCGCTCCATGACAATAGCAAGACTCAAACATCTCGATATTAAGATTAATATTTCCAATCTCATTTTTTTAAAATGTTTCGTTGCTTAGCAGAGAGAAAAACCGAAAAGCTGAAATTTCGGGAAAAACCGAAAAGATGTTCGCTGTTCAAGTGCCACGTAGTTGCACAATTTACTCCCTGAATTTCGAGGACCAGTATGTCACAAATTCTAACTGTCACTGTAAATATCGTTGCTCAGAACTGGACATCTTAAACCGATTAATGCAAACCTGTGTTTTAATGTCTCTTTTATTTTTCTACTTAATGCACTTCATTCACTGCGCCTAAAATTTGTCGCAAGTAACAAGCTTTTGTATGTATTATTATTGCTTTATTATTAATATAAACATCCCCAAACGATTTCTTCATAGCAAACATCCCGCTTTGGGAAACACCTTTGAAGTGAAATACGGATTCAAATTTGTTCCGAAAAAAAGGAAAATCGAGGTGCAATAAGCCATAAATAAGTTAATTACAATCTTCTACAAGTTCTCTTCAAGATTTTAATTTTATCATAGATCACCAAAATCGTTTCAGAACCGCATATCGGAGAAAATCCGTAAGTTCAAAG